GCATTGTGGAGCCGGTGCAAGGCCACTTTGCTTCATTGTCCGGAGGGTTTTTGCTCCGTTGCTTGCTCTGTGGGTAAGCGGCGTGCGATTGCAGCTGGAGCAGGCCGCTGGCGAGCGTCCGGACGAGCGGTACGACACCTAGAGCTAGCTGGCCAGTGCTACGCTTGAGCTCACCCCCCTGGGAGGACGGTGGGTGGTGTCTGACCCATCGCGGGCGGAGCGGCGACGCTGCACCACTCAGATGTTAAGGAAAGAGCCGTTAGCAGGCCCAGTGTGTACACTGCCCTCCCGGCAAGGCTGTGGTGACGCTAGCCTGGCCTGGCCCTCGCTGGGCAGGAGCCCTGCCGTGCCGTGTGGTGTGGGCTGCCTTGGGCGGCTCAGGTCTGCGTTGTGGGGAACAGGCGACGTGTCGCAGCCCACTTCTTCAGATGCCTGGGGCCAGGGTACAGCGACATAGTGGGGAGGGTGTGGTCAGGTAGTGTCTGTGCCGGTGTGGCTAACAGTGGGCTAGAAGGGTGTGGGATAGCATGGCCCATCCAGAGACGGCGTTGTGCTTCCTTGGGCGCATGTGTCAAATCGGCCTTGGAGGGCCAGACGCTCGCTGGCTTCTGAAATTGCTTTGGCCGAGGAGTCGCTTTAGCTCCAGGAGTGTCTGGGCACGTTCCAACGGTCCCCAGCAGGTGTGTGTGTTCCCCTTGTCTGTTAACCCGTGGTCGTGGAGATAGGCCGGGCTGGCCAATGCACGTGGCCGAGGGGCCCTGGCTGGTGTCGCCCACGCTGGCTGATGTGCTTAGGGCTGTGATGCTGTGGCTTGTGTGGAGCTGGCACTGGGGCTTGTTGCAGGGGAGGGTTCCTGGGTGAGTGTCTGTGGGGTGGTGTGTGGCTGCTGGACAGCATTTGTTTCAGGCTGGGCCCCAAGGCCTGAGCGTGGCGATCTTTCTCCAGGGTTTGGAAGCCAGCTGTGGCTTGTGCTCCTGGTTTGTGGCGACCACAAGGATGGCCGGCCACGCTGCTTGGGGGAGTCGTGCTGTTTCACTAACAAGTGAAGCACGAACTCCTCTGCCAGGCTGGGGCGCGACGCCTGCACGCTCAGAACAGGCTCCGGGATGCTGAGCTCTCCGACCTGCTCGCTGCATGTTGGAATCTGCCTGCTCCTTGGAGGAGCGGCGTGGCCCGGAGCTGGTTGGCGCTTAGCTCCATTGGCCCCAATCTGTTCCACGGGGGGTGAGCCCGATGGCGCTCGACTGGACCAAGACTCTGGTCCCACAATAGCTGTGGTCCGGAGGCCCATGGGTGTTGCTGGTGGGAGGGGCCCAGCGGCAGAGCTGGCAGGGCCAGCGGGATGTGCAGGGCAGCAAAGCCCAGCCTGGCAGCGAGGCTGGCAGGGCCACTGGAGCCCGGCGGCCGCCCCACCCCGCTGTCTGGGCAGGTCCCGAGGGTGACGGCCCAGGGAGGCCCAACCTGTACTACCTGCTCCCAGCACCACAGCCTGGGGCCCGACCTCCAGGCCATGCTAAGTATCCCCTAAAGGGGAACAAGCAAAGGCTCCTCTGCACCCCAAGAGCTGGGGGCTGGAGCCAGCTGGTGCCTGCGGCGCTCGCAGGGGTTCTCTGGGCCGTGCCACACGCCTGCGCCTGAGGGAAGAGTCGCTGGCTGCTTGTGACCAGCTTAGCACGGGCATCCGGCCCCCGGGCTCCGTGGGGAGCAGGGGTCCCTCCTCCCTCTGGGGCGGCCAGCCCGGAGTGGTGGCTGTAGGACAGGCTGGCGGCAGAGTCCTTGTCGGGAGCAGCTGTTGCCCAGGTAGATGCTCCTGTGAGCCCCACCCAAGGGGAGGCGCCGGCAGGAGGGAGGGATGTCGTGCTCAGGGCCTGTGGCTCTTTGGGGGTTGCTGGGGCCAGAGCTTGGAGGCTGAGTGCCTAAGGGGTGTAGGCACCTAATGTCCATCGAGCTGCAGGGAGCGAGGCACCTAAATCCCTTTAACCATCTCTTCCTTAGTCCCTTGCCTCCTCCCCCCCGTGCATGCGCCGGGGCCTGCGCCCACCCACGTCCACCGTGCAGCTCGGGGGTGAGTTGGCTGGGAAGGGCTGCCCAGCGGCGCTGGGGCCGATTCGTTCTCTGGCTCGAGCGAAACGCCGGCACCGCTCGGGGGGGGGCTTGGGACTGGCCAGAGGGGGGGGGAATTACCGACTCACAAACC